CTACATCCTATGGTGTTTCCCCCAGAAATTGGGGTTTAGTTCATGACGAAATTGAGATAAAACAATAGGGTTTTGTTCATCATGTTCTAAATCAACAATAAACAACTAGTTCGGTTTAGAAAATCCAACCAACTAAACGCTCTCGTTGAACTCAGTTCAAGCCGCCTTGGAAATCTCCATCGCCAATTGCCGAACGTCAATTTTCTTACCGCCGCCAATCGCTTCAGCTGCTGCTCCTCCCTTTTCCCAAGACTAATTCGCCTCTTTTCTCTTTTCCCCATAGAATTTCGTGGCCCAAGCTTGCATCTCCTCCTCAGAATAATTACTCCCTCCAATTCCGTGTGTCCAATCAATTCCGCTGCCCTCTCCAAATATGTCCCCCCAATATATTTCCGTTGCTGCTGCTTCTAATTTCCCAGAAGAATTCCGCCCTGTCCAATTAATTCCTTCCCACCCGCTTTTGCTTCCCTCGTCCACCAAAAGAAAAGCCTCCTCCAAATAATTGCCAGCCCACCTCCTTTCACAACAAGCCCAGCACCCAGGCCCAAAAAAGAATCCCCAACCCGTAAAAGTCTCGTCCCGGTTCAACTCTTCAGTAAGGTCCGGTCCCATCAATAAATAAATGTCCATCCATTCCACTTGAATTATTCTATCCACCAATGCAAATTTCTCGTTTCATTTACCTAAAATATATAAAATATTTGGCACTTGATGGTAATGGTTTTGCAACCATTCCGTAGTCAATTAGACTTCGAACAAGCAATATACATCTCAAACATATCATGAAATAATCACATTAAGCACGCAAAATCAATATGTTTTCGACAATTATCAATTCTTCATGATTTGCTATGTCCTCGTTTTGATGTTCAATATTGCCTTCTAATGAAGATTCTTCACAAACTCGAACTTCTTTACTCCATCCAAGTTCACTTGCTCCTTCAATGGTAATGGAGTCAAATCCAAGGGTGTAAGTGGATTGAAACCAACACGAGCTCAAAAGGTGAGTTCTTTGTTGTCGAGTGTACTTTCTGTTGTAGGCAAACTCCACGTGAGGTAGACAGTCTTTCAAAACCTTGATGAATGCTCGAAGCAATCGGGATAGATTTCAGCACACCATTTATGTTTGTCCATCCATTTGAGGATGATAAGTTTTAGAAAACAACAACTTCGTCCCCAGTTTGTTCCACGATGTCTTTCAGAAGTATCTTAGGAACTTTGCATCTTGATTAGACACAATAATGCAAGGCATCCCATGCAACCTCATGGCCTCTTTGAAGAACATATCGACCATAGTTACATCATCATCAGTCCTATGGAATGGAATAAAGTGTGCCATCTTGGAAAATCTGTCTACCACCATAAAGATTGAATCTTTGGAAAACCCATTAATATGTCAACCCATGGAGCATATGGTATAGGCAGAGGTGTGTTCAATCTATTTGATTATACATTCGATTTAGCTTGTCGACACTCCACACATCTTGCACACAGATTCCCCACGTCTCGCTTCATGTGAGGCCTATAGAAATGCTCTTGTAAGAAACTTAATGAATTGTCTACAACAAAGCAACCCATCAATCCTCCTCCGCGAGCTTCCTTCAACAATAGCTCTTGAAGTGATATTCTTGGAACACACAATTGGTTCCCACGAAAGAGATAGCCATCACTCCTTTGGACACAAATAACGTAGCCAAGTCTCCAAATCTTGAACCAATGCATAGAGCTCTTTATCATAAGTAGGATAGTTAAGATTCAATCGAAAAGAACTTGACTGAATTTGAGAAACTAAAACGAACCAAAGGTGCAACTTCTCACAAGGGAAGAGGCTCGATTGGATTATGTTCAAAGCTCGGCCATGATTGATGCGATTTCAATCGATACGAAGCACAAACAAAGCTGGAACACAACCAACAACGCAAGGGTTCGGTGACAAAGTCACGTTTTTTCCATTCAACCAAAAACTAAACTTACACTGAGGCTTTTGAGACTTTAAATAGAAATCAACAAACTATAATCTACTTCTAAACGAACAAGGAATCAAATCTAGCTCTAACTCTAACAAGGAAAGAAAAATCCAAACTAGAAAAGGAAAGAATGCTCGGTTGCTTAACACACAAGTTGTTGCCTTCCTGTGCAAGTAAGGGCTTTCGTTTGAAGCTTTCAACGAAGCTTCGAACCAATCGGGCTTCAGTCACTTCTTCTCCAAGTCACCTGCTTCAATCTCCAACACCCAGTTCCCTTCGAATGTAACCCAGTCGTCTCGAATAAGCTTTTGAAGTAAGCATCTCAAACTGTCTTCAGACTTAGCAAAAAATCAGGCAATTACCCAAATTCTTCAAAGCAACTTGGACCCTCTTGTTCATGCACTTAATGACTTGTAATTGAGCAAACAACCATTTAGAGTTGTAAACAAACTCTTATTCTTCACTTTCCAACCTTTCTCTTGCATTTTCATCAACTAAGATGTAAGATATGAATCTCCAAAGTAAGCACCATGAAACGTGTTGAACACTTAGCTAAATTCTTCCCTTTTTCCCTCCAACATGGATGGATCATTTGGCAAGCAATTCAACCTTGTTCAAGGGGTTAATTAGGATCATATCAGTTTCACTTAACTTTTCACTAAAGTAAACAATATGCTTCTTCTGGAGCATCACACTCTACTTCAAATGTCTTGTTGAAATAAGATAGCATAAGAACAAGAGCATGGGAAAGCTTTTACTTGAGTAGTTCAAATCCCCAATAGAAAGCCACATTCTTATTGATGATTGAAGTCAATGGTGCGGCTATGGTGCTAAAATTTGGGACAAATCTTTGATAGAAACTAGCCAGCCCATGAAAAATCCTCACTTCGTTGACATTAGTACGCCTAAATATCGTTCACCTTCTCTTCATCGACTTCCAGTTCATTAGCACTAACCAAAAGACCAAGAAACACCATGCTTGAGGTATAAACGTGCACTTCTTGGGATTTTCATATAGTTGTTCCTTCCTTAAAGCCTCCAACACCTCTCACAGATGCTGAAGATGCTCCTCCATGCTCTTCGAGTAAATCAGAATAACATCGAAGTAGACGAACACAAGCTTCCCAATAAAATCTCTTAACACATGATTCATCAACCTCATAAAAGTACTCGGAGCATTAGTCAATCCAAAAGGCATCACCATCCGTTCATAAAGACCATGTTTCATTTTAAAAGCAGTCTTCCATTCATCTCCTTCCTTCATTGAAATTTGGTGATAGCATTACCTCAAATCAATCTTCGAAAACATACTAGAACCATGTAATTCATCAAGCATGTCACCTATAAAGGTATAGGATGTCAATACTTAACTTTTATTTGGTTGATTGCTCGACAATCAACACACATCATCCACATTCGATCCTTCTAAGACACACGAATGACAGGAGCTCCACAAGGGCTCATGCTTTCACGAACATGCCCTCTCTCTATAAGGTTATCAATATGCCTTTGTAGCTCTTTGGTCTGATATGGATTCATCCTATAAACTACCTTATTGGAAATTGTAGCTCCATAAATGAAATCGATCTGATGCTCTATCCCTCGAATGGGAGGTAGACCTTTTTGTGATTCCTCAGGAAAGCATCATCAAACTCCTCTAAGAAAACTCGTGCCCTAGGTGGGACGTCTTGAACCAAGTCGTGGTTTAGTAGTTGGTTCGCTTTAACTAAAACTTCCCAATCGAAGGAAAAGTAAAACCTTCGAAGGTTTGTTATCTCGAATGAGAAGAATGAGCTAATCCGAATGCGAACTGTGACTGGTGGCGTGTCTGCATTGACTACCGCCATCTGAACGATTCCACCAAGAAGGACTACTTCCCGCTCCCATTTATTGATCAGATGGTAGAGAGGTTGGTGGGACACGAGTTCTACTGCTTCCCTCCAGATCCCGATCGCACTAGAGGATCAGGCAAAGACCACTTTCACCTGCCCCTTCCACAACTTTGCGTATCAGCGGATTCCCTTCGATCTTTGCAATGCACCTGTGAACTTCCAGAGATGTATGATGGCGATCTTCGACTGACTTGTTGGAGAGATCATGGAAGTCTTCTTGAATGACTTCTCATTTTATGGAGCTCCTTCTCTCATTGTCTCCATAACCTGGAACTCGTCCTAAAGAGGTATGAGGAGACAAATTGGCACTCAGCTGGGAGAAGTTCCATTTCATAGTTCATGAGAGATTTTGCTTGGGCACAAGATCTCCAAAAAGGGGATGGATGTAGATCTGGCAAAGATTGAGACGATTAGCAAGCTACCTCCTCCTATTTTTGTGAAGGGGATGCACAACTTTCTGGGTCACGCAGGCTTCTACCAAAGTTTCATCAAGGATTTCTAGAATATCACCTTGCCTTTGACCAAGCTGCTTGAGAAGGATGTGCCATTTCATCTAACTCCCGAGTGCACAACTGCATTTGAGATCTTGAAGGAGAAGCTTACCCATGCACCCATCATTGTGACTCCATATGGGAATCTGTCGTTTGAGCTGATGAGCGATGCGAGCGACTATGCAGTCGAAGCAATTCTAGAATAGAGACGCGACAAATATTTCTAGGTGATTTGCTACTCGTCAAAGACCTTGAACGATACCCAGGAGAATTACACCATCATGAAGAAAGATCTTCTTGCAGTGGTGTATTCCTTCGATAAGTTTCAACTATATATGGTGCTTTCCCATGTGGTTGTATACATGGATCATTCTGTGATACGATACTTGATGATCAAGGTTGATGCTAAGCCTAGAATCATCCGCTAGATCCTGATGCTGCATGAGTTCGACATAGAGATGAGGGACAAGAAAGGATCCCTCGTGACGGGGTGATATGACAATGAATGATGGAGCACGAGATGAGAGACATCCTATCTCAACGTCACGAGGGATCCACTAGCAGTCACTATGGAGGAAACCGCACGTGCGAAAGGTGTTGTAGTCAGGCTTTTACAGGCCTCGCTCTTCAAGGACGTCGATACCATCACACGACAGTGCGACCGCTGCCAGAGGTCAGCTAACATTTTCTGCCCAGGATGAGATGCCCCAAAACATTTCGTCATTTGTGAGATCTTTAATTTTTGGGGCATCGATTTCATGGGCCCATTCCCTCCATCTTTTGGTAATCTCTATATCTTGTTTACTGTTAACCTATGTCTCGAGGTTGGCAGAATCTTAGGGCATGCCCACCAATGAAGCAAGACGTGTCTCTCAATTCCTGAAGCAGCTTTTCATCCGGTTTGGGACACCCCGTGCCATCATTAGCAATAGAGGCACCCATTTTCAGGGGCAATTCAAAAAGCTCTTCTCTCGTTATGATGCCACACATAAGGTGTATGTGGCCTACCATCCTCAAACAAATAGTCAGGTCGAGTTGACGAACAGGGAGTTCAAGAGAATCATTGAAAAGACGATGGATTAATTCTGCAAAGATTGATACTTCACATTATCGGCTTGACACTTTCATGTTGATCAAGAGAACGACCTTCTGGGCCCTTAAGCTGCTAAACTTGGATTTGAGTGCTACAAGTACTACACATAAGCTGCAGATGCTGGAGTTGGAAGAATGGCGTCATTACGCCTATGAGAATACCCAAATTTATAAGGAGCGAACAAAGCATCTTCACGTCGCTTGTCTGAAGGGCACCAAAGAGTTTCAGGTCGGTGATTGCATCTTACTCTTTAACGCACGCGTGAAACTCTTCTCGGGCAAGCTACGTTTGCTATGGTCTGGACCATTCATGGTCATCCAGGTGTTCCCGTATGGCACGATGAAGATTAGGAATGCACAAACCGAGCCATTTAAGGTGAACGACAACCTCCTGAAACCCTATCTGGGAGATGATGTGGAGTGCGAGGAGCTGCTCATCAAACTCGAGGAACCCTTAGTTCATCTATATGCATCCATCTAAAAGACGGTAAAAAAGCGTTTGTTGGGAAGCAACCCCACCATGATTTGATTTTACTTCCCTTTTCTTTTGATTTTTTTTACTACTTTTATGTGAGTTCAATCTGTCTTGAGTCATTTTTGTGGCCCCGGCTACGTCGTGCGTAAAGCCAGGATTTTGGTGAATTCAAATGGAGCGGGAATAATTCTTTTGGAAAAACATGGCTTCTCCTTCACAGAAACCCGACCTTGTTTTAGCCATAAGAGGCCGTGTTTTCCAGGTTTTAGCGAGGGGGAATGGCAGGAGCAAGATTTACAAAAACTAGACCACGATTTCTTCACTAAGAGGGCGTGTTTCTTGTTTTGAAAACATGACCTCCCTCTCTCCTCGCATTTGTCTTTTCCTCAAAAAACCTGCCCCAAAATCAGATCTCCACCTGCTGCTCCTTCGCCCTCCGCCCGCCTTCAATGAGACCACCATTACGCCGTCTCCGTTCTCCCACCATCAGCCGCTGGGACACCTGCATTGACCAACTTGAGTTCACTTAGTAGCTCATCCTCCAGTAAATCGACGCCGCCTATGTGGTGGTTGTCTATGTTGATGTTAAGGGTGTTCATGTGTTGATGTCTAATAGCTAGTATGATTCATGTGTTTTGTGCCCCTATGGTATGTCACCAAAGTCTGCATTATTAAAAAAATTTGACCTTCGCATGTGTCTGACTTGGTTTGCTTTGGTACAAGCAAACGGTTAATTGTGGGGGGAATTTGATAACATCGTATTTACACATTTCCCCCCCTTCATTTCTTGATCGTTTAGCTTAGCGATTGATCGTTCCTTGGGATATTTTATGCTAGGTTGTGTTCTTTTGTCATAGTTCAGGTCCTAGTACATAGATATGGCTTGGGGACAAGTTTCGGGACATTTGGAGGTGAGAGAAGGTTGATCGCGAAAATCGGGCAACAGAGCTGCTGGAAAACATGCTCTCAAACAAGGCCTCTATTGTGAAAAACACAACCTTGTGCCAGAGGCAGGGTTTTTCCTATACACTTTACAAAATTGACATTTTATAGGCATAATACCACTAGGAAACCCGAACTATTAAGAATGTGTCATTTGTGTCCTAAAGTATCCAATATGAAATTTGTGTCCTAAACTATTTTTTCATTAGAGTTGACCGGTGTTGACCGTAAGTATTTAACAAATGACACATTGTTAATAGTTCGGGTTATGACATAAATTACACAAAACTATAATAGGTTGGTACATAAATGACGCAAAACTATAATAGGTTGGGAAACAAATGTCAAATTAGATACTTTAGGACACAAATGACACATTCTTAATAGTTCGGGTTTCCTAGTGGTATTAACCCCATTTTAAAACATGGCCTCAAACACGCCCTGGTTATTAGAAAGGAGCCCATATTTTGAGCCGATTTCTCACTATTGAAGCTTGGACTATGTCCCAAGGAGTGAAGATTGACATCCTAAAGTAGATTATACATATCCCCATGAGTATGGTTGCTTTGTATTCGGTTTCCCTCTCTCTCTCTCTCTCTCTCTCTCTCTCTCTATATATATATATATATATAGAGAGAGAGAGTATATATATATATATATATATATATATATATATAGAGAGAGAGAGAGAGAGAGAGAGAGAGAGAGAGAGAGAGTAAACCTCCTTCTCATTTGGGTACTAAAATAATAGTTCCATGTGTTAGGGATCTTGTTTGCAATGACCTTTGGATGCTATACTGGTTGGTTTTAATCAATTAAAGCATGTTTCATGGAAGATCACTCACATCTGAGTAATCAACCCTTCTTTCTGCTCTCACAAGATCCTCAAGGAGGACGAGGTCAAACTGGTCCACCAACATCAATGAAGGGTGAATCCTAACCTGGAGGAAGTGGTGAAAGCAGAATTGATCAAGCTTTTGGATGCTGGGATCATCTATCTCATCTCCGATAGTTAGTGGGCGAGCTTGACACAGTTGGTCCCAAAGAAGGGTGGTATGACTGTAGTGAAAATGAGCAGAATGAGCTTATTCCTACTAGGGCCGTGACATGGTGGAGAGTTTGCATTGAATACAGAAGTTTGAATTATGCTACTAGGAAAGATCATTTCCCCTTACCTTTTATTGATCAGATTCTTGAAAGGCTAGGAGGACATGACTTTTACTGCTTCTTGGACGGGATGTCTGGATACTTCCAGATCCTAATCTTCCTAGAAGATCAAGCTAAAACAGCCTTCACCTATACTTTTGGTACCTTTTCGTGTCGGCGCATCCCATTCGGCTTGTGCAATGCTCCAACCACATTTTAGAGATGCATGGTGGCTGGCTATTTTTGACAAACTCGTGGGGGGGGGGGGGGGGATCATGAAAGTCTTCATGGATGACTTCTCAGTTTTGGAGGACTCTTTCTCCTAGTGCCTTACCAATTTAGAGAAGTTTTTGACAAGGTGTGAAGAGAGTAATTTGGCTCTTAGCTAGAAAATGTCTCAGTTCATGGTACGGGATGACATCTTCTTGGGTCACAAGATTTCAAAGAGGGGTATTGAAGTTGACAGGGCAAAGTTTAGTACCATTAGCAAGATCCCACCACCAACTTCCATTAAAGGGGGTACAAAGCTTCCTTGGGCATGCAGGGTTCTATCGGTGATTCATTGAGAACTTTTCCACCAAGATTGCTCTGTCATTAACAAAGCTTCTCGAGAAAGACGCACCAGTTGTATTCGCAAAGGAGTGTTGCGAGGCATTTGACATCTTGATGATTAAAGCCGATGCAAGCCTCCACTTATTCAATGGATTCTCCTCTTGCAAGAATTTGATGTTGAGATCCGAGATAAGAAAGGGGCTGAGAATTTGGTTGCGAATCATCTTTCTCGACTTGAAGGACCCTTGGTGGATCCCACACATGGGAAGATCAATAAATTGTTTCCCAATGAGAGGTTGTTTGTGTTGGCTGCGGTGGAGAGCACAAAAATTTGGTTCACCAATTTTCTGATTATTTCGTGGGAAGGCAATAACCAAAAGCAAAGAGTTCTCAAGAGAAGAGAATTTTTTTCTCTAATCTTTGATTCTATTTCTGGAATGATCCCAACTAATTTCAAGTAGGGGTCGACGGTGTCATTAAGCGTTGTGTTCCAGAAGGGGAGATGCAAGATATTCTTATCAGGAATCATGAAAGACCGTCCGGGGGGCACCATGGGGTAACCGAACTGCTATGAAAGTGCTCCAGTCGGGTTTCTTTTGGCGCTCGTTATTCAAGGATGCCGATGAGTTTGTTTGGTAGTGTGATAACTGTCAACTTTCAGGTAACATCTCTAACTGGAATGAGATGCCCCAAATGATTTATATCACTTGAAATATTTTTTTATGTTTGGGGCATTGACTTCATGGGACCATTCCCACTTCATTTGGAAGAAAATATACCTTGGTTGTAGTAGATTACGTCTCTAGGTAGGCCGAAGCGCAAGTGATGCCCACCAATGATGCACGACGCGTATGTATGTTTCTCAATATACTTTTCTCCAGGTTCAGGACCCCTAGGACCATCATTACCGACCGGGAGACTCATTTTCAGAGTCAAATTGATCAACTTCTAAGATGCTATGGTTTGACCTGTAGGGTGTCCATGGCTTACCACCCACAAACAAGTAGTCAAGTCGAGTTAACTAATCGGGAGTTGAAGAGGATACTTGAAAAGACAATGGATCGATCCTAAAAGGATGTGATTGTGTGATAACCTCGCCTTGCGGGAGTATATGTTTGTGTTTATTTCCATGTAAAGCTCTTTCTCCCTCGATATTTGTACATCTCCAGTCCGACTTTCACTCGTCAATGATTCAGTAACTTTGCTCCACCCTTATTCTTGCTCCATTGAGGGCAATGTCGTGCTTTAGTGTGGGGGGTGTACAAGTATTTGTGATTGCCCTGTGAATAATGAGTGGGAATGGCCTATTTGAATGTGTTGGAGCCTTGTGATTGCCAAATTTCTACAATTTGAGGGGTCCAAACACTTGTGCATGTATGATTGATTTATGGCTGATATTGAGATGTGCTTTGGAACCTAGATTATTGCTTGACATTGAAATTTTAGGGGCTTCGAACTAAATTGTCCCAAGCATGATCTAGCTCATCGTACTTGGGATTGTTTGATGATTATAAGGGTGTGCAGTATAGGGAATGGTGTGATGCTATGAAAATTCTTGATAATTACTGCTTTACTTTGATTTCCTCTCGAATGTGTAAAAGTGATTGCTATGCAGGTTAGACATGTGTGTGGGACTCCCCAATTTCGGACTCCAAAACGTTTCACATGTTTTCTATGAATCCCCCTAGTGCAAATGTGAAGTGTCTAGACGTCCTTAGTTGACAAGGTCCTCAACTGAGAGTGTCGTTGCACAAAGAGATGGAAGTAAAGTTTACCCAACTTTGATTGTTTTTAGGAGCCACCGATGATTGATAGTTCATACCATTTTTTTGTCCAAAAAGTGGTACTAGTTTGAGTAGGTTTGCTTGGGGACAAGCAAAATTTCAAGTATGGGGGAGTTTTATTCGGGATAGATTATACACATTTTTAACCCTTGCCTTATGACGTTTGACATTTTTACACTGTCCTTGGAGCCATTTTACCTTAGGTTTGTGCTTGTTTGCCATGTTTTGGACTTTGAGGGTAGAATTGGCACCGGGATCTAAAGTCGGAGAAAAGAGGGTGAAATAGACAAAAATAGCTACTAGCTAGCCTGCGTAGGTGTCTAGTTTGACATTGATTTCATATTCCAATTCTAAGATCCTTCATGGCTTTGATATGGAAGGAACTAAAGTGTGGGGTGATCAATTGGGCTTCGTCTAATGACACTCTCTTAAAGAATGCCTCACGAAAATACATGACGGGCTTTCATAAACCCTATGTAGCCACTCTTATTCTTCAGGGGGGGCGAGCGTGTAACCATTACACCGTGATACATTTTATCATGACCATTCATTGCGTATCGTTTCAATTTTGTGATGATCCATGCAATCAACAATTCAGCAATGTACGTGCTTTTCGCGTATGACATCACGCCATAAATGCCACTATGGCCTTGTCTTTGGCTTCGCACCATCCTTTTTCGAGTTCTCAAACTCCTCTGAAAGGATGGAGTCTTTTTGCTCTTAAAGGTAAAAAGCGGTAAATATGTAGCTTTACACATTCAAAATCCTATCTTAATCAAAAGACGCTACCGCCAAAAATAAATTTTGGGGTTAAATCCAAGTGCGAGGCATCCTCAAGTGCATTAACCTCTTCTTTAGGATTGTTCTCCGTGTTGCTCGGAAGAGATCGGTCGATTTCTTTAGTCTTATGATCCAAAGTGCATTTATTTCATATACTTATCATCACAATACCTTGAATATGTGCTATGAATGCTTCAATTATGTTTTAGCAACCCTAGGATTGCTTTTGTAGGTTTTACGCATCTTTGGTAAAGTTTTGTGCATTTTTATGTCAAAGCAAACTAGTGGATAACTTGGTAGCCAAAGGAGACACTGAGATCCAGTTGGTGGAGACGGGACTCGAAGAGATAGTTCATGCCCTCTCTTCATGGCTGGGATCTTGGCTCTGAATCCTGGGATCTTGGCTCCTTCGGCCATGATCTTTGTTTTTGCCCCTTTTTCTACACTTGTGCCCTTTTTCGTACCTAATTCACATGTATGGTCTAGAGC